GGGGGGGGGGGCGGGGGGGTGGCAGAATATGAAAATCAGTCAGTCTTGATCCAAGTCATTCATCCTGATTTCAAAACAAATTTAAGAGAAGGAAAGGTTCTTTATGGGGAGGGCCATTGATATAGTGCCCAAGGTATTAAAGGATGTTGTCTCTAATCGTAACTCACTGATGAAAGTATTAACATTTGATTTTAAAGGGGAAGATTTGCAAGATTTTAGAACACTTAATCCTTTTTTAAAAATTTTGTTTTATTAAAGTATACATTTACATTTACAATGTTGTGTTAGTTTCTGATGTACAGCAAAGCGATTCAGTTATGCATATGTATAATAGTTCACACCTGCTAATCCCAAACTCCCAGTCCATCCATCCCCGACTCCCCGCGCCCCTTGGCAACCAGAAATCTGTTCTCTATGTCTGTACAACACTTGATCCCTGAAAGCGGATAGTCCCAAATCCAAGACTAGAAAGGAAATTTGCATGCTTTTTTCATATTTATTTTCCTTTACAGAATTTAAGTCGATTATATCATGTTTTGTGTTTTCATTGAAAAAAGCAATTAGAAGATTAGACTACAGAATGTGAATACCGAAAAGACTCAAGAGTTTTAAAGTATGGAATTAGTTGAGGTCACAGCCAGATTTTTCTTATTGAGGCTTTTGGGGGATATTATTAATATTAATCAAAGAAAGTATTATACCTCCTGAGGAATGTCAGATTTGCATAATTACCTGGTTGCTTCATTGAATCCAGTTTTGGGGTTTTTAAATTAAGCTTTTTAGGAAAGTGTAGATAGATTGGGCTTGACAAAGCTAATTTCTGCCACCCTTGAATCTCTTCTAAGAGTAATCTTCCTTCTGGTGTGTTTCAGCTGTCATTGCTGGCGGAGTTATCGGCTTTCTCTTTGCAATTTTCCTTATCCTGCTGTTGGTGTATCGCATGAGAAAGAAGGATGAAGGAAGTTATGACCTTGGAGAACGCAAACCATCCAGTGCTGCTTATCAGAAAGCACCTACTAAGGAGTTTTATGCGTGAAAACTCCCATTTAGTGTCTCTATTTATGAGATCACTGAACTTTTAAAAATAAAGCTTTTGCATAGAATAATGAAGATCTTTGTTTTTTTGTTTTTGTTTTTTTTCATTAAAGAGCCATTCTGGCACTTTAATGATAAAATCCCATTGTATTTAAAACTTTTCATGTATTCCTTTAGAACAACATAAAAATTCAAAGTTAACATCTGCAGTGTTCTGTGAATAGCAGTGGCAAAATATTATGTTATAAAAACCCTCAATGTTCATGGAATCGGTTTAAACTTTTATGTGCAAATATGAAAAGAGTGTTTTTATCCTGCGGTTTGAAGATGAAAGCTGTTTCATTTGAGTCTGCATGTCTCAGATTGACCTTACCAAGTTCGTCTTACTTTGTTAATTTATCTGTTGTTCCCCTCTCCTCTGCTCGCCCCTCTTGGCCCCTTGAAAACAAAACAAAACTCTATGCCTTTTGTAGCTGTTACGGTGCGGTTTGTCTTTGGAAATTTCAGATAATGGTAATTTAGTGTATATGTGATTTTCAAATATATAAACTTTAACCTCCACTTTGTATAAATTTTTAAGTGTCAGACTATCCGTTTTACACTTGCTTTGTTTTTCATTACCTGTAGCTTCAGGCAGATTTGCAACAGCGAATTAATGTTTAAAATTGGATTATCACCGCAAAACTGTTTAGTCATGTCTGTCTAATCAGATCTTCTTTTGGGAGGATTTGAGTTACTGACAAGCCTCAGCAAACCCAAAGATGATAACAGTATTTTGAGAAGTTGCTGCAGATTCCTTTGGCCACTGTATTTGTTAATTTCTTGCAATTTGAAGGTACGAGTAGGGACTTAAGGAAAAAATCCGTTTTTGTTCTTAAAAATGCATTTAAATTGTAAACATCTTTTTAAGCCTTTGAAGTGCCTATGATTCTGTGTAACTCTTCGCAGACTGGTGTTAATGAGTATATATAACGGTTAAAAAAAAAAAGTTGGTATTTTATAAGAACAGACGATTATAATGGTAACTTTTGTAGTCTTACGAATAGACGTAAATTGTAATTTGAGAACATAAAAACTACTGAATAAATCATGTGGCCTAATATTGAAAATGTCACTGTTATAAATTTTGTACATTTTCGGTCAAATGTACACCTCCCCTTTGCTAACGACCGTCTGCTCTCAAGGATGTTGTGGGTTTGATTTCTGAGTGTTCCACAGTGTCTGTAAATCAAAAACCAAAGAGCTCAGTGATGAGGCTGTTTATTACCAGATTCACTTGTGAATTGGCCAGAGGAAATCTGAATATATCATCCTGTGTATGTTTGAAAGTAGATATCGAAAGGGCGCCAGAGAGGGAATTGTGACTTTTGCAACCTTTATGGAGATAGCTGATGGCAATATTGAGACGAATGCCTGCTCTTGCAAATAACTTTTAGGACCATAAATTCCCAAGGACTAAAGGGGGCTTTCCTGACGTCGGTGTCTATGGTTTAGTCCTGTAGATTGTTTTACCTTCGAAACTGCTCCAAATCTCTCCTGAAGCTTAACCGAAGAGGTAATAGATGGAATACCATAGTTCACACTGTAGGGGATAAGAGTCAGGCAGGGAGGCTCTGTGCATTAAAAGGAGGGCCTCACTGCTTAGGAATGCAATTGCCAGAAAGCCTGAGGAAGAGCTGGAAATATGAGAGTACCCTGTCTGGGGACTGCCTTTTAACTGAACATTTCCTTTTTCTATTTTACCACCAATTTTGTTTTAAACTGTGAGTGGCCAAAGTAGGAAGACAGCAAAAACAGCCACCTTTCCAACATGTAATTTACTGTTAATGAAGTATGAATCCTTCATTTAGAGAACATTCCCCGGAATTGCCACAGAACTCATTAAAAAAAATTTTTTTTAATGCAGCACTCGGAACAGTGTTGACGTCAATTCTGAATGGCCTTAATTCTCAAATTCCTGTCCAGTCACTTGCACAATCAGTCCACTTTGAAGTGATTAAAAGGAAGTGATAGCACCTTCTTAAAGCTGCACAATGTCCCTCGGTTACGGAGGTTAGGAACGTAGTGGGTATACGTCTAACTGTGCAAAGCATAGCGAAATTCAGTTCGTAGAATAACAACTGCTTGGAATATCCATGCCAGGAAAAGGAGATTTCTGGCAAACATTTTGTCACTGCTGTAAAGCAAAATATTTGTTAAAGTGCCAAAATAAAGTCTGTCATGCTGAAAGTAAAAAATCATTGTATAGACTGACATCCAGTTTTCTTCAACTGTACATTTTCTGCTTAGTTATTTTATTTTTAAGATGCAGTAAATAGTACTATAAGAAGTGTTAGTAATGATTACCAAGTTCAGGAAAATTTTGGTAAAATATAAATATTAAAGCCAATGCGAAGATTTCCTGTTTCCTTAACCACATCTAAATGATTTCCTGCATGTGAATGAATATGGCTTTGTTTGAGAGACTTGCAATATTCAAACTGTCCCATTTTCAGCATGTGGGGGAAATGGTATGAGCTCATTTTTTTAAAAGGTTTCACCTGCAGGTGCCTAGTACCTGAACTTCAGGATTAGGACCTGGTTAATAACATTGAATTTCGTTTGGACAAGATTGCAGAAATTGCCACCTATTAACATTAAAAGTTGATAGTTTCAGATCAAATGTTTAGTGAATTGATATTTGCTCTTTTTTTTTTTGGCAAGTTAGACAAAATGCACTTGCTTCCTGAGGATGCAGCCTGTTTGTCTAGGGTCTAAGAGACTAAGCTAAATAAGTAGAACATAGTTAATTTCTGGCTGCCCTGAAGAACCAAAGGGTGCTAGTTCCTGAAAGAACAGACGCACTAATAACCTCGTAGGTTTTAAGAGTTTATTTCTTCAATATCTCAGACATTTTGAAACCTTAGGGGAGCAAAAATATAAAACCTAAAAATATTGCAGGGTTAATTTTATCATCAGGATCTTCTTTACAGCTCTCTTATAATTATATAATGGAATGCTAGAAAAAAATGTTTTAAAATCTATTTGGTTTAAAAAGGCAATGACGTTAAACAAAACAATCTCTAACTTGAATTTTACGTTCTAAGCCTCTGGCAGAAAACAGTGAGACCCTAAGAGGTTTCCAGATAAAGGGAGTCAAGCCAGCTGATACATGGAGTTGTCTGAATTAAGTAATCACTAAGGTTTTTTTCAATGCCAGTTATTTTATGACCAGAGTGAAATTGGAGGTTTGGTCATTTCTGGGGAATTAGATTTAGCTGGCATAGAAAACTGTAAAAAAGATAGAACAACTGTCTGCCAAGTAACATTGGTAAAACAGTATCAAAATGAATTTTGTTCCACTCTGTCTCCTAACTCTGGGCGGCTTCACTCTCATGATTTATGGTTCCAAGATTTCATTCCTTTTTGCTTATCTGCTGCATGTGGTCTTTAGCAGAGCTTTTTCTGACTAAGGAATCATGGTGACTTTGGGAAACTTGGTTTCCTGTGAATTGGGAAGGGTGTAACCCAAGCAACTGTCCTAACCGGTAAATAGCAGAGTGAAGCTTTAGGCCTTGGTGCTTCGGATGTGCTGAGTGCAAGACCCATTCATTCCAGTTGCCTTGGCAAACTAACACATAAGGCACAAATGCTAGGTGCAAGGCACCGGAGGTTTAATCAACAGATACTTGCCTAGTGACTTGTACTGGGCTCTCTTCTAGAAGCTAGGTAAACAGAGATCCTGCTCTCAGGGGGTTTGGAGAGGGGTGCAGAGGGGAAACAAAATTAATGAATAAAACCAGCAAGTAGAAGTGATCACTTGGTGGTGTTTCCACGGTGGCCCTGAAGCAGGCTGATGTAAGGGACTGAGGGACTCTTTCAGCCCAGATGGGCTAGGTATGTTGCAGTCACCATCTCAAAGCCTCAGCAACTTAAAACAGGGAAGATTGATTTCTTGCTCATTTCACGTGTCCGTAGGCTGGCAGAGAATTCTGCCCTGAACGATCATCATTCTAAGTTTGGGTCTCAGGCCAGTGGAGGAGCCATTATCTGGTACGCTGCCAGTCCCTGTGGCCGAAGAAAAATCGTGGCGAAACGCACAGTGGCTCGTAGGCTTCCACCCAGTGGTGCCGTATATCGCTTCCACCCACATTTCATTGGCCAAAGCAAGTCACGTGGCTACAACTAACCGCCCAGGCGCAGAGAATTGCAGTCCTACTTTGTGCCGCTATGGAGAGAGATGGGACGTTTGCGAACAGCTGTAATTACTACCGCCCGGTCAGGAAGGTTCTCTGAGAGGGTAGGGACTGAATGATGTGGAGCCGGCTGTGCTAACATCAAGACAAGCGTTCCAGGCTGTGGACAGCCTTAAGGAGGTAAGGGGCTTGGCATGTTGCAGGCACGGGGGGAAGGGGAGTGGCTGCCAAGCAAGTGAATAGGTGTGGGAGAGCTGGGGTAAGCGGGCTGAGAAGTGTGACTGCCTCCGAATCAGTCTTCCTTCCACTTTTTGGCCCTTACATCTTATTTCCCACAAAGAAGCTAAGCTGATCTCTTTATGATATAAATTATTTATGTCACCCCCTTCAGTGGCTCATAAAGCACTTTGAATAAAGTCCTGACTCCTTACACTTGCCCCCCAGGCCTTCAGGAACTGACCCCTGGACGATGCGTTGGAAGGAGACGGGGTGGGGAGTAGAGTACCACGGCCAGTTAGGATGTCATACTTGTTCCTTGTCAGAGCAATGATGGTGGCTTGGCCTAAGATGGTAATAGTGAAGGCTCAGAAGACTGGAGAGATACTGTTTGGGAGACGGAATCAGTGGGTCTTGCCAGAAGGTTGGAAGGAACAGGGAGTAAGGAAAGAAAGGGATCAAAGATCACCCATATTTCTGGCTGAGCTGGGTGATCCACATTCTGAGAAGGAGAATATCGTGGGGAGTTGGCTGGTAAAACAAGTTCCTTTTGAATGTTGTTAAGTTAGAACTATTAGACACCCAAGTGGAGGTGTCAGGTGAACAACTGAATGTAAGAATCTGCAGCTCAGAGAAGCGGCCTGAGCTGAAGATATTAATTTGGGAACAGTGTCCGTCATTTTGCCTGTTGGCACTCTGATTCGTTTCCCTCTCTTCCCTGCTCTGCTCTGTATTGAAGTGGGGGTGACCCATGCAAACTACATTTCCCAAGCTTCCCTGCCAGCTGGCTCCTGGGAAAATCTGGCCAATGGAAGGTACTGGCAGAACACTAAAGGTCAGGAGGAATGGAGAAGCCAGCGTTCTTTCCCCTCTCCCTGCTTTGGGCAGCGTCTGTTGCATTAATGAGTCTCCTCTATGGTTTGAGATCCCACTGGTCTGACTCCCCTCCAAGTTCCCTGCTCCCACTGGTCCTAAACTCTCAAAAACACCACTGTGGCCCTTTTGTCTCTCCAGCCTCAGGGAGGGTCACAGCTTCCTGCTGTTGCTCTACTCTGGGTTATCTCACCCTCCCCGGTTTACCCACACAGCTTTTCCAACATCTTTGTAACTAATTCCCTGGATAAATTCCTTCCATTGTGTTACCCGGCATGGGTTCTATTTTCCTTCCTGGACCCCGACTGATGACACAGGAGCGAACAGCATGTAGATGGTGTTAAAAGCCATGGGACTAAATGAGATCATCTGGAGATGTGCACAGATAGAGAGGGACCATGGCCCTGTGTCGGCCTGCTCGCACAGTCTTTCTTTGTAGATGAACCACTACCACATTCACTCTTTAGCACTGGTCACAGGACTGGATTTTTGTTTTGGCAGATGTTTAGCAGAGAACACAATTTTTAATGGCCAGGGGAAAAACAAATCCCCATGAGGCTTGATAGAGAGCTCATTTTCGAGCACATTAATAAGCATGTTCAAGTATCCACTTTTACCAGGTCATTAACGACATACACTATGAACTGTTTTTAAAACTGAAAGAAGTAATTGGGAGGAAGAGTCAGAGCTATTTGAACATTCAGGAAATATCTCTATCATCTGTGTTTCCAATGGGAAAATATCAGCAAACAAAACAGCAATTCTCCTACTTGTAGCCTTGTCCTGGGATCATTGAAAGCAGGATTTTGCCTCTTTAATTACATGCTGCTTAGGTAAATACCAGAGTAAGCTGGCATGTCCTCTGCCCAGACCAATTTCAAGGAGAAACAGTAAAGTTGGTACAAAATGTAGATGGATCTGGCTCCATGTCAGACCCAGAACTTGGGGATTATGGAAAGTTTCCTTTTCTGATAACCTCATATCTCAGTCTTTTCCTTTTTTACTTTTTAGTATCTGTTACTCTTCTTTTTCACATTTAGTTCACTTTTTCATGTGTAAAATAAAGATGATAACATACACCGTATGCCTTGTGGGAATTCAGTGAGGCACATTCAATGAGGTGATGCACCTAGAACAATATCTGGCATCTGGTAGGACCTCAACAGAGGATCATTTATTCATTCCTTCACCAGCTGTTTCCTGGGCACTCACTATGTACCAGGTACACAGTTCCAGCCCTGAGAACACAGGAGTCAACAGAACAACATCCTGGCTCTCAAGTAACTTACGTTCTAGTGGGAAGAGACAGACCATGAATATGTAATGTATCAACAAGAAAGTGACATTTCAGCGGGGGGAAGGTGAGGAGGGTTTGAGCCATGGTAGGTGGGGTAGGAGGCCTGAGGAATGGGCAACATTCCAGGCCAAAGGAACAGTAAATGCCAAGACCTTGAGTATAGCCAAGGAGCAAGTGAGCTAGAGACTAGAGTGATGGGCGGTCAGTGAAAGGTCCACAGGCCAGATGGTATGTGGATGGCCTTGTAGCTTTGTAATGGCCTTGGAGAGTTGCAGGATTTTGAGCCAAGGAGTGACATGAACTCACCTATGCTTACAATTTGCTCTCAAACCTTAGCACGCAACAGAATCACCGGGAGTACTTGTTAAAACACAGATTCCTGGACCCAACCTCCAGAGTTTCTGATTCTATAGGTGAAGAGAACCCAAGAATTTGCATTTTCAACAACTATCCCAGCAAGGACCCCACTTTGAGAACCACTGCTTCCAAAGGATTGCTTTGATTATTGTGTTGAGAATGGATTGGTTGTGGGTGACGGATGTAGGCAAAAACACAAGCAGGGAGACTAGCGAGGCTGTTGCAGTCCTCCAGGAGAGAGAGAACCACGGTGGATGGCAGTGCTGAGAAGTGATGTATACTGGAGAGCCAAACTGGCTGCAAAGTCTGGAAATCCAAG